AGATTTGAATAATCAGTTAGGAAAAATTCTCGGCTCTCGGCAATTCTCTATATCGTTTTAACATTTTGTTAATCGGATTATGAAAGAAGACTGAAAATACACGTCCGGTTTTTATTGTTTGGGTGTAAAAGCGCGTATTTAAAGGAGAATACATTGTATATTGATCAAGCATTGAACTCTGCATAAGTCGTATTTGTTGATGACATTGCTTCAGCTTCCCGTAAGCAAGTACGCGCAAATCTGCAGTTTCGTGAGCATTTCAGGTTCGATATACAAAGTAATAATGTTGCGGAAACTTAAACTGGCCCGTCATTCTGCCGAATAGTCTTTCTAAACTAGTTAATCGTTTGATTGCTAATCAAGGAAAGGGGAGGATTGTGCCTCACCAAACTAACCTCCGACCGCACGTTACTGCCTGCTGCAGCTGCTTCAGAGCCCGGCGAACGGTGCGTTATCCGTCCCAGCAGCAGAGTGACCGGAGAAGGGCAAAGACGAGTCAATATCGCCGAAGCATATGCTTTGTGCAGGCTGATCGCTTGACGCACTCGGCAACGAACCTGGGAACCCGACTGCTGGAATTATTTTCTGTTGTTGCGACTACGATCTTGAGACACTAGATGTCGGTATTCTGCTCATAATCCACAATCAACCTTTGACTTTCTTATTTATACATATTGAATGTATTATTGTATGATGATTTTTTTTATCTTTCTTTTTTTTTAATGATCTGTAATGTGTGTTGTTTTGTAAACAGGGCACCATTGCAAATGAGACCTAGGTCTCAATGTGTCTTCCTGGTCATTCAACAGAAACGGCCACATTTGGGATAGCATTATGTCAAAAAAAAAATATTTTCATACATTTAAACTTCAGTGACACTTTTAGTTAACCATTTTGCTTTATGAATCCACAAAAATTAGAGCTTAATCGATTACCATTATTTTTCTACACTCGCTTAAAACGTACTTTGCTGTATTTTTTGGAATTGGTGTTACCTCATAAATTCACAAGTTTTCAATAGTTCTAAGAAATAATACTGTTAAACATTCTGTACACATAGATAAACAAAAAAATATATGTATGATGCCTTTTCAAAGGCTTAGAACAAAGATAATCATAGTAACATAAATGATGGTAACACCAGTGACAATTTTCATGTCAAAGCCATTTTACAAAATGGCAGTAATAGTAATTCAAACCAAATGTTGCTATTCATGTTGACCTCATTAAAATGCATAATAAAAATCCAATTGTATTACATTTCTTTGCATTTCGCTTCTCATAAAATGGGTAACACCAGTGACACCTAAAATCCCCACATGAAATTGTGAGATTAAGGGTCAATTTTACAAAATATGAAAAGAGGCAGCAGACTTATGTTCATTCCATGACAGTCTCTCAACAAGTTGTTTGCTCAGTAGGAAATGATGTTATAAATGTTTTTATTTTTTTCAGAATGGGGGTTATTGTGAAGTGGTAACACCAGTGACATGACACCCGGGGACAGCCATTTCCATTCAATTATTTCTAACAATGAGTTGGAATTTTATTAAATTATGTTATCCATTTCATAAGTGCGATATTGGTGTAAAAATTATTGCATTCAAAATGTGGGGAAAATATATTTTAAAACTTAAAATCTGACATTAAACCTCCACACATCTGCCTGGGGACATGCAATTTTCATGTGCCTCAAATTTGGTATGATTGGTTAAAAATGAATTTGACCCAATTCCAATGCTCAAATTGGTATTACAATTCAAAGAACATCTTATATTACTCAAATATATACATCTAATGTGAACATTTGCTATATGTAATTTGCAAATAGTATGCAAAGCCAAGGGACAAGAAAGTGGCTTTTTCTGTAGAATGGCCTATTAAGGATCAATGCAAGATTGAATTGAATCCTTTATATTGATTGATCCTTAATAGACCAGTTAGTCAAACTGGACATCTTCTTCACAAACAAAGTGGAGGCAGTGTGATGCTTTGGGCAATGTTCTGCTGTGAAACCTTGGGTCCTGCCATTCATGTGGATGTTACTTTATGTACCACCTACCAAAATATTGTTGCAGACCTAGTACACCCCATCATGGAAATGGTATTCCCTAATGGCAGCGGCCTCTTTCAGCTCGATAATGCACCCCACCAGACTGCAGAAAAATCTTCAGGAACGGTTTGAGGAACACAATAATGAGTTCAAGGTGTTGAACTTGGCCTCCTATTCCCCAGATCTTAATCTGATGAAGCATCTGTGGGATGTGCAGAACAAACAAGTCCAATCCATGAAGGTCCCACCTCGCACTGTACACGACTGACAGGATCTGCTGCTATCGTCCCAGTGCCAGATACCACAGCATACCTTCAGAGATCCGGTGGAGTCCAGAACTCATCGGAGTCATCGCCCCGGTGGGCAGAGCTCTTGTGATCGAAAATGGGAAACTACACCACACAGAGCAAACTTTTTACAGTTAATACCCCCCCAAGTTGTTACTTTATTGGATAGCCAGAAGGGATGCTTAGAAACATCATAACCAAAAATTTACAAAAATCAGTAATTTCTAGGCCATTTTCTGCTTGTTATTTTCTCCCGCTTAGAACAAGCCATTTTGAATGGGCATCTCCTCTATGATCACTAATCTGCTCTGATTGGTCGTTGAAAGGAACAAACCACAAAGAAATGCAATGTTAGGGCCGTGAGAGAGAGAGGTGGGGAGGAGATGTTGGGCTGTGGAGGGAACAGGGCGCACGAGCACAGCCGCTGGGCTTCAGCTGCACAGAGCAGGTCTGTTTGTGATGTTGAAAATGGCAGGAATTTCTAATCATGCGTTTCATAGGTGTTTAAAAGGGGGGTTTGACTGCTGGCCTCGGGGCTCTTCAAAGGAGACCTTCACTGGGTTTCAAGGGAATTTTTTACTCAAGTCTCTGCATGTAGAAATTAGAGCTCTTTTTAAACAAATCCACAAATCAAGATGAAAAGTCTTTACCCAAGGAATTATAGAGCTCTCTTTAAAACTGCCTAATAAAGTTGTACTTTTCCCCTGGATACCCTCTGGTTCGCAGACAGGCTGCGATGTGACTCCAGGTCGTCTTGAGCTGAAGCCTCTGGTCGCTCTCAGATCCCAGCGAAGATGTGGAGCCCCGCCGCCCCAGCGGTGAATGTGCAGGAGACTCAGTTCCTGCTGTCTGAGCCCTCATTACTGCTGAACGCCCACGACAGCACTGGGGTGCGATACGAGGAGGAGGAGGTGCGCCAGTATCTGCTCAGAGGTTCAGCTGCTTCGCTGACATGAAAAAACCCCAAACCAATCTGACTGCCATACATTAAAGATGTGAAATGTGGGGTATACTTTCTTGCTAACGCTAGGTTGTCTGTCATGAAATTAGCCATCGTTGCAGCCATCCATACTCAGCTCCTCTGGTGTGTCTCATTGCTTTGGTCTCAAGCTTTTCAGATAGAATACACAAACTTAGCAAGCAAAAGGGGGCGAAGCTCAGAAACATCCCATTCCTTTTTTAGAATAAATTCTGGTCGGCTAGAAACTTACTGAGCATAAGTAACACAGATACAGGTTGCTAGCACATCACAGTCATAATTATCCAGACAGCAAAAAGGTCCGTATAGGATTCGGCCACTTTCGCCCTACCTCCGTTTACCAGTCAGACCCGCTAAACGCACCTGCAACGGATCTGGCAGATTGACAGTCGCCTGACAGATCCGTGCCAGATATGGGCTGTAAACAGTTGGTCTTTTGTGGATCCGGTTCAGATCTGGTCCGGATCTGTTCCAGAACTGTTAAGTGGATCCGTGCCGGATCTGGGCCAGGGAGCAAAATTATCTGGAGCGGATCGTTTTCAGGATGTTGGACTACATCCGGTGCAGATCCGGCCCGGATCTATTTGCTGTCTGGGTACAGTGCATGATTCATTTATATTTTCAAAATCTGGCACATTAAGCCTTTTAGGGGCAAGATTATAGATGTAATGTCAGAGCACTTCCCCAAGCATTCTCATACTGATACAACAATCACTAGGCCTCCTGGCAAAGGAAAGCAATAGAATTTTAGAACACTTATAATTTTTGAGAAAAAAAAAAACATTTTAAAAGAGTAAAAGAGAATTGAATAATCTTTGGTTCATGGCCATTTCCAGAGTCAACTAGAATTGGGCTCTAAGCCCACATGCTTGCACCAGTCTACAGACTGAATGTAAATTCTGTAAATCTTAGCCATGCGATCACAGTTGAGAAAATTATTTGTCCTTCTCATTAATAGGTCGTGCTCTCGATGGATCACACAAAAGCAGTAGCAAGTAGAAACAAAAGCAGTCAATCGTAGCTGGTCTTGCGTATTATACTGTATATCCAGGGAGCATACTGGTAATGCTTACCGAGCTTTCAGTTAGTCATGGGCAGGACTAGTTTTATATTCTACACAACCACTAGATGGCGTCAGAAACAAAGAGTCAACCCCTCAGTTACATATTTAAAAGGGACGATTCAAACAGATGGTATCTGTCCCCAAAAATGACATGATTTTTATTATTTTGGCCATATTTAACTCTCATATTCAATGAAATGACCAATAAAAACAGAATCAAGGGTAGGCGGTCCATAGCCTAGTGTCTAAGGTGATTCGCTGGGATGTGAAAGCCACAGTATTACCACAATAGTATCAGCATTTGTTGGGCCCCGAGTAAGGCCCTTAACCCCATACTGTTCCATGCAGGAGCTAAAATAACTACTAAAATGTTTGATGTGTAACAACTTACGGCCACAAACTGGCCACAAATGCCCATCTGCTCATCTCTTTATCTGAGAGTCAGATAAAAATGAAATTCCTGCCCAAAACCACCCCTGCTTTTTTTCACAAAGCAAGATGACCAAAAATGCTGAATAACTGCACTGCGAAAGGGCACTTTCATATAAAGGGGTCAAATCACCAAAATGAGATTTTCAGTTTCCTTGTAAAACATTATGCACTGTGGTTCCAACTTTGGGCGGCATGGCTCAGGAGGTAGAATGGATGGTCTAAGAATCAAAGGTTTCTGGGTCGATCCCTGGCTCCGCCGGAGAACATGTCCAAGTATCCCTGAGCCAGATGCTGAACCCCACACTGCTCCTGATGCGCAGGTTAACACCTTGAATGGCAGCCTCTGCCATCAGGGTGAATGTGAGGCATAACTGTAAAGCACTTTGTGTCGTATGACTAGAAAAGCACTATAAAATGCAGTTCATTTACCATTTGATGCAATTTACATGAACAAAGATGCACAAGCAAGTGCATAGTTCCAGAAATATACAAGATGTGCAGAGTCAGGGTTTAAACATGTTTTAGGGAGAATCTGCTGTTCCATTTGTACATATGTAGCACTGAGTCGGTGATTCTATATTATTACAAAAAATAAACCGCTAGTTCAAATCTATTTTCAACATGGTAAAAGTTCTCTGCAATACACAAATTTTGACTCAAATCGGTGAAGGATTACGTATTTCATGACAGATTTAGTTGGGAGTGCCAATTAACTTTTAACAAAAACTACGTCCTCGTCAGAATCTGGCCTCTATAAAAAATATTGTATGCAGTTTAGAGGTTTTCTTTCATCTATAGAGCACACCCATTTATTATAAATTACTGCGGCAAGAAAAAGTATGTGAACCCTTTGAAATTTCTTGGTTTTCTACATGAATTGGTGATCTGATCTGCATCTAAGTCACAAGTATAGACAAACACAATGTGCTTCATCTTCTATCACACAAACAATTGTAATATTTCATAGTTATTGATCCAAGCCAGTAAACATTCACAGCTGGAAAAAGTAAGTGAACCCTGGATTTAATAAAGAGTTGAACCTTCTTTTGCCACAAAACATTTTCCCAGCAGCATTGTGGAGTGTCAAGGTGCTCTTTGGCAAACTTCAGGCGTGCAGTAATGTTTTTTTTTTTTTTTTTTGGAAAGCAGCGTCTTTCTCCGTGGTGTCCTGCCATGTAAACTATGCCTGTAAAATATTTTGTCAATGGTAGACTTGTGAACAGTGATGTTAACCAGCTGCAGCGATTCCCTCAAGGCTTTAACTGCTGCTCTATGGTTCTTTTTTTTTTTTTTAGCTCACTGCGCGTCCTACATTGTGCCATTGGAGTCACCTTGGCTGGGTGTCCACCTCTAAGCGGAGTAGCCAAAGTACAAAAGTTTCTCCGTTTGTGGCCAATTTGTCTAACTGTGGAATGGTGTGTACCTCAAGTATAAAATTACATCCTCTCCAGAACATTGATAGCGAGTGAGTACCTAAGGACATCTTTCTTCAATTCAGGTTTGATTGTACATACATATATTGCCAGTCTATTATTCATCCGTGTGATCCATAATTTTCCATCGTCTTCTACCTCCTTTTAACCCGAGTCCTGGTAGCGGTATTGGCCCGCAAAGATGAAATGGCTATATATCTTCCAGAAACCTGGGCTTTGGCGGCTAAGAACCATTTATAATGCTCAAAATGAACGGCAGTCAAAAGACATGATGTCAGCAGTTAAACAGATGTCCTCCGCAGAATGGCATGTTTTACAAACAAACCTCATCTGTTTTTCTTCATGTTCTCCTCGATCTGATGCTTTAAAAATTTCTCAGCATCAACAAACCATGGAAAGAATCATTTGTATGATTTCTCATTTTTACCCTCTGCGGAACAGCCATGTCCCACTCACATGAAGGAGCCCCAAAAAATCTGGAACATTAAGAGGTAAAAATGTGCGTTCTGGGTTGCACAACACAGACTAATCGGGCCAATTCAGTAGTCCTTATTTGTGGACCAGGCTCTTGATTGTAGACCTGTAGTACCCAACCCAGTTCATGGCGGCTTCCTTCTCTCGGGTTTCCACTCCGATCCTGACACAGCACACATCATTCATTTCCATGTTCCACTGATGTAAAATTAGGATCCAAATGGCAGCTACTGTGGCAGGATGTTATACAGCCACAGCAACAATGAAAGGCTCAAAATGGCGTTTGTATAAGAAGAGGCCTGTCGGCCTAGAGAGCTCCGCTGCGGATGACTGAAATGTCCATGTCACAACTTAATTTCAGAAATCCTTGAAAACTATTGCAATATTAACACATATGACACATTAATGAAAGACTGAAAAAAATGAGCATAAACAATGATTTTCTAAGTCCAAAATGCTGGATTTCTCAAAAACCGGGAAGTAGAATTTTCTCATTTTCGCAAGGGTTATTCAGAACATCATAAGGAAGGCTCACAACAAATTAGACAAGTTATCAGACAGTTTTTGAGATATTAATGAAAGACTGAAAAAATGAGCACAAACACTGATTTTCTGAGTCCAAAATGCTGAATTTCTGAAAAACCGGGACGTAGAATTTTCTAATTTTCACAGTGAATATTCAGAATATCATTAAGGAGGCTCACACCAAATTAGAACAAAAGTTATCAGACAGTTTTTGAGATATTCAAATTTGAAGCGAGAAGTTGACGCTGGACAGACTGACGGACGCTGGACGACTCGGCATTAGAAAAGCTCCGCTGACTGCTGACTATGGTCACAGCGGAGCTAAAAACTTAAATACACCACTCAAAAGCTTAACGGTAATAAAAACTTCCTTTCATAATTAATTCTAGGATTTGAATTTGTGCAAATTAATAAATCAGTAATTCATTTGAGGTGTTCGTTCAAGATTTCTAAGATATCATTACATTAATTAATGTGAGGGGACCAACAGGATGACGTCAGTTAGTCACCAGTATCAGCACAGTACATTTTCAAAAGAAAGAAGTTCCACCAGTTAACAAAAAATAAAAAATAAATTTAAAAAAAATTATAAATAAATGAAAAGTTATTTAATGGTGCTTTTCCACCACGCGGTACCAGCTCTACTGTACTGTACTCACCTTTTTTGCTTTTCCATTAGGAAAAAGTACCTAGTACTTGGTACATGGTACCACCTTTTCTGGTACCTGCTCTCCTGGGGTTCCAAAAAAAGCCAACCGGGTACTAGTAGGTACTAAAATGTGACAGGACAACACTGCAGCCCACTAATTGGTCAGAGAGAATAGTCACTGCGAAATACAATTCCGTAGTCAACCTCGGGACAACTCATTCGTGTTATCCTGATCTGACCGAAGGGCCGTATTTGAGCGACTTCATAGGTCAAACCCCAGTAAGTATTTAGCCATTTTTCCTCCCTGGCTGGTGGTTCTTTCACAGTGAAAATATAACATTTTTGCAGAAAAAACTTCCCTATTCAACCTCCACCAATATCGAATGAAATCAGGACTTTTTTTTGGCTTACCTTGATATTTGGGTACCCAGAGAAACATTTGGGTGTGGTAAAAACATCAAGCGTACATCCAGGCAAGAAAATTTAGAGTTAATTTCTCGTGCTGCCTACAGATAACGGCATATAACAGCGACAGCAATATTACTGATAACACACCGGGTCGCTAGGGCATGCACAGCATATGCATTCGTGACATTAAATATTAATATTAAATTCTAAACTCCCTCCCCACTAATAAAACCCCCAAAATGTATTGGTGCCCCCTTTTAAAATCGTTCTGGCAAATAAAAGCAGAAAAAAGTGGAATTCTTCCCAAATTTCGAGTTTAATTTCCAGTGCGGTAATACGGTGGAATGGCAGATAACGATGGCAGCCATGATGCTGATGACACACAGGGTTGCTGGGGCAGGCGCAGCACATGCGTTCACAATATAAATATTAAATTCTAAACCCCCTTCTCACAAATAAAAACCTCCCCCAAGATATATTGGCGCCCCATTTTATAATCGTTCTGGCAAATAAAAAGCCTAAAAAAGTGGAGGTTGGATACAGAATTCTTCCTGCAACCTACATTGATAGTTTGGAACAACATCTAAAATCTAAAATAAACCGCACAGCCCATCTTTTTCTGTCAAGAGTTGGGACAGGGAGGAGGCAAGAAAATGGCCAAGTTGGTTGTTACTTAGCTTGGTAGGTAGCTAACCAGCCGTCTACTTCACCTTGTGGGACCAATTTTTAGCATGATGTCCCAAAAATAAAATGAAGCCATTCCGCATCCAAACTGCACGATGACCTTTCTCTGCCGGTAGCCAGGATCCTGGTTTCAGAATGCGGGGAAGCAATAAACCGAGTGGGTTGGCAGCTAGCTGGCCAGCGAGCTAGGCAGTTATTTGTATATGATAGGATCAATTTTTTCGCATGGAGTCACAAAAATCAAGTAAGCAAGACCATACTGAAAGCTGCACAGTGCTCCTTCTCTGTTGGGAGTTGGGATTGTGGTTCCAGATGAAGCCAGATATCGGTCACATATTCTGAGATCAACTTGAGCAATCGCAAAAAAAAAAAAAAAAAAAAAAACCCGGATGTTGCAATCAAGCCCCATTTCCGATGCATTGTGGGGTAGTTTGGTGGCTAAGTCACTTCCAGTCTCGCACAGCTGCAGGGAAAGCTGGCTTGGCATGCATCAGGATATTCTCCGTACGAAACAGAGCATAGAAGCCGTATTAATTCTTCATGCACCCAGTACTCTTTCTTGGCTTGATTTTAGCGTTTACATCTTTTGCCGTTTCTCAAGAATGGCTGAATTGTTGTTGTCATGCCTCCATGCAAGCTGTGCACCGGAAGTGCGGCAGTCTCAGAAGTTTCAGCGAAAAAAACCACATCTGGGTTTTTTTTTTTTTTTGTATTAGTGATCGCTCAAATTTTGTGTGTTATCATGAAAATCAAAGTAAGCTAATCTGCATGCTGCTAAAATGAAGTCATAAGCCGAAGGGCAAACAGTACGTTACAGCAGTACAGGGGGCAGAGGGAAGAAAAAGGGCGGCGTGCTATGCATCGTGGGAAAGTTCACTTCAATCCGTGACATCCATGGATACAACCTATACAGACAGTTTTTTTGTTTTTTAAAAGCGAGCCTTTACAATTGCTACAGCATGGGAGTGGCCTTTTATTTATCGGGAGAAATGGGTTTCCCGGTGGTGCAAGATGTAGTGAAGACCACAATTAGGCACTTGTAACAGGAAGGGTCTTGAGATGGTCACAGGGGAAGAATTCCATATT